GCCCACCTCCGCTCAGGTCGAGGGCCCGCAGGGTGGGGGCCCGGCCGCACCGCGTCCGCGTCGCCGGAACGCACGACCCGCGCAGCAGCGAGCGGGAAGGCCGACGGCCCGGGCCGGCCTGCTCCGATTCGCACGCGTCCCCAGCCCTCCCGCCACCCGTACCTGCTGCCCGGGCCGGTGGGCTTCAGCTGGCGGCTAGACGGAAGCACGTGGACTCCCGCCTTCCAGAGCTGGAGGGCGCCGCGGACTGCCCGAGCGAATGCCTGACTCCTAGCTGTCGGAGGCCGCCTCGCTCCCGGGGTTGAGCGGCTTCCGCCCCGGCGCTGATAGGCAACGGACACGCACGCGCACTAAAAGCTCGGCGAGCACGCCGTGGGACCTTCCAGGGCGCTGTCCCTGTGTGATGACGTCAACGACGGAAGCCGAATGGTCTAAGCGTCTACCGCAGCTGCGCGTATCCCCGCGGGCTTTTGGCTGTGCCACGTGGCCCCCCATGTCATTGTTTCCCGGGCAAGTGTGTCAGCCTCAGTACCTCTATAACCACCACAGTTCTAAGGCTAGCAGCAGACAGCCCCAACAGGCCAGTGTAAGCACGTCAGGGCTCCCACTGCTGGGTGGAGTAGGCGACGACTGCTTTTTTGACCCTTTTAATGTGAGCGTATTGACTTATTCATCGCGCATGACTCTCCAGCCACAGACCTAACAGGACTCCGGTAGCCGGTCCACACATTGTGTGATTGTGCTCATTTGCACGTCCCCTTAGGATGTGATCTGAGTGCTGAAGTTCGTTTCAGTTACCAATCCTCTGCCCAAAGGAAACCACTACCGGTTTATTTTCCTGCTGGGGAGGGTGGATCACCTTCTAGAAGCACATCCAACTACTTGAAGTACTTCTTGAGTACCACAAACATTAATGTTCTGAACCAAATACGTTTCTTACCTTTGAAATTACTTGTCCATATAGATAAACCAGTTCAGTACTCACCATTTGTTTATTCTTTTAGCGAAATGTCAATGTGCTACACACTATTCCGTTCAGGAAGGCTAGACATTAACATGGTCTTGTCCCTCAAGAGATTTTTGAAGCTCAAAACTCTATGCTATTAAAAATAAGGTACCCGAGTACTATTTCAGAGATGGGCAGGTAAATCCTCTGAATTAGCCAACACTGGATGGAACACAAGGCTAAATGTAGAATAAACCTTGAAGAGTATTTGAGTGATAACGAGCAGATTGTAGACTGTTATGCAATGTCAACCACAGAATTTTAGTTGTGACAGAAAACTGGAGGTTGGGCAACAAATAAATGACAAATTCCAATGTGCCCTCTACTGAATCTGACTACTACTTAAAATATGCTCTGGGACACGCGAGTGCAACTATTAGTTACTGTTTTAGAATGGTGGTAGTGGTGGTCACAAGTGTCAGAATAGCTCAGGAATTACATGGTTCTAAAGGAAATCAAATATAGTGGTAATAAATCTACTTCCCCGGGCAATGAGATAATGGTTCCAAACAAGTAATTAAGGTCAAGTTTCAGCATTTGAGACAGTCAAAACCTACATGTTTAGTTGTTTGAAATTTTGTGTTTTGGGGCTTAAAACACGGAGAAACTATAATACTGATCTTATTTTAAATCAAGGGATTGGATAATTTGGGGGAAATTATGAGTACAGATCCAGCCAGAAAAGCATGCTTCCAGGAACCAGGACAGGATAATGAACAGGCCAACGAGATAATAAAAAAAAAATCTGTAGAATCCATCATTACCATCCCACATTTTAATTGGCAACTTTCACGAACAGGAAGCTACTTTAATAAAATACCTTTGCTTTAAACACTTGCAGAAAGTATCTTTTTATCCCAGCCCTTAGTCTTGATCTAAAGGCCTGGGCCCTATCCCTATCCCTGAGACAGTCTACCACCTGAGCCAAAGCTTTTCAGTAGTTAATTGGAGATGAGTCTTCCCTACCTGGGCTGGCTTGGACCCACAATCCTCAGATCTCAGCCTCCTAAGTAGCTAGGACTACAGGCTTGGGCCACCAGAACCCAGCCATTGTTTTGTAAAGTATCAGTTTTACTAAGTGACCCACTAACCCCATGTCCATGTTCATACAGCTTAAAAACTGTTTCCAAAACTGAACATAAAATTTAACTATGAAATTGTTCATATTGCCTCCTATCCCTTTCTCCAGCCTCTTAACCACTAATATTCTTTGCACTTCAACCAGCCTTCAGTCAGTAGAGGTTGGCTCAAAATAAACTTTCCTCCAAGTTATTCATGTAGGTTACACTTCAACTAGTCTTTCCTGACATTAATAGGATATAGTCTTGTATCATCGACCATGTGCCTTCACTGCCATTTACTACTTTGGGGTCATCACACTGTATAACTACAAACAGCTCAACTGAAGCAGAAACCATGGTGGTTTCTCATCATGGAATGGCCAGCATTTCACAAGATAGTTATGTTGAATGAAGCCTTAGCTCAAGTAGTCAAGTCTAGTTGAAATGCATCATTTACAGAAAGCTAATACAAATAAGAATATCCTTAGTGCCAAGGGCAGTTGGCTCATGCGTGTAATCACAGAAACTCAGGAAGCTGAAATGTGAGGATAAAAGTTGGAAGCTAGCCCAGGAAGCAAAGTCTGTGAGACTTTAATAAACTACTCAAAGGCCAGATGTGGGCTGTGGTTCAATTGGTAGAGAAAAAAAAAAATCTCAGGAAGTGCCCAGGCTGAGTGTAAGCCCCAGAACCGGGGCAAAAAAAAAAAAGGAAAATGCATACTAAATAATACACTAAATTACGGCCTTAAAGAGTTCAGGGACAAACTGCTAGTCTCTCACAGCCTACACTGTAGGATCCAAGATACTACATGAAACTAGATTTCAGAAATGTTTGAAGTAGGGTATTCGTAATAGCAGAGACAGACAGAAGTTAGTAGTCTAGGATTCTCAGAAGATGAAAGCACCACCAGGTCTCTCTCTCTCTCAGAACATTTCTTTGGAAATGGAACTGTGGCTCAAGTGGTAGAGCACCAGCCTAGAACATAAAAGCTAAGCTGAGAGTGAAAGGCCCTGAATTCAAACTCCAGTACCAGCAAGGAAGTGGGAGGAGGGAGAAGAGCATTTCTTCAGTAAAGTATGTATGTGAAACTAAAGGTGACTTTGCTCAAAGACAATTAGAAGTTTTCCTATTATGGAATTGTTAAAACATTCACTTGTCTTTTTCATAATCTATATAGAATTTAAATGAAACTACATTTTTCTACTTTTTGTCTCATCAGTAATTCCATAAAAGGGTAACTCAAGTTTGAGGACAATGATTTGAAGTGTGCCTCAGTCAACAAAATTAAATGTCTAAAACAAACTCAGTGAGGTGCAGATTCAAGAGCTTAAAAGTCAGAATGGATGCCGGGCGCTGGTGGCTCACGCCTGTAATCCTAGCTACTCAGGAGGCTGAGATCTGAGGATCGCGGTTCAAAGCCAGCCGGGGCAGGAGAGACCATGAGACTCCTATCTCCAATAAACCACCAGAAAACCTGAAGTGGCACTGTAGCTCAAGTGATAGAGCGTTTGCCTTGAGCTGAAGAGCTGAGGGAAGGCGCCCAGGCCCAGAGTTCAAGCCCTATGACCAACGACCAACGACCCAAAAAAAAAAAAAATCAGAATGGATGGTTCATGCCTGTAATCCTAGTACTCAGGAATCTGAGGACTGAAGTTCCACCCAGCACAGGTAGGAAAGTCTGAGACACTTATCTCCAATTAACCACCAGAAAATCGGAAATAGTGCAGTGGTTCAAAGTGGTAGAGCGCTCACCTTGAGCACAAAAACTCAGGGACACCACCAAGGCCCAGAGTTCAAGCCCCATGTCCAACAAAAATAAAAATTAAAACCTAAAAAAGTAAAAACAAAAGGGGAAGGGTATGAGCTCAGTGCTTACGTGCATCCAATTTTCCTTCATTAGCTAAATCACTATAATTACAATGGAACAAAATCAATTGCCTATGACATGTTAAAAAGCTGCTTCTACTACCTTCTGCACATAGTCTCATTTCTATTTCAAATGGAGTCTCCCAACTAAAGTTGTATATATAAGGAAACAACTATTAAGTTAATTGCCTTGAAATATTGAAAGGGCATTTGTTCTAACATCAAGACACACTGATTAAGGAGGGAAAACACTTGTATATTTTTGGGGAGTATTTAGGACGTAGAAGTGAAACTACCCCTAATCAAGGTAATTGATAACTTCAACCTTTACTAAAACTTTGAAAAACAAGTTTCAGTATTCCAGTGAGATGACTGGTAATTGTGTAAATGCAAAAGTATTTTATATGTAGGCTTTCTATACCAAGACAAATCTGTGACAACCATTTCATTGCAATTCTCCTAAAAATATGCATTTGACCCAATAGTCTTTGTAACTAAGACAAGCTTTTACATACAGAGTATACTGAATGCTAAGATTCAAATCATAATGGAACTTCAAAAAAAGTTCTCTCCCCAATCGATGCAGCATTTGTTTCAGAAATATGGTCTGAAATGCTAATAAATAAAAGGTTTACATTTAAGTTGTCATGACAGAATGCCCCTTTCTCCTTGGATGTTTTGAAAAAACTTTAGAAACAAAACTATGAACACTTCAGACATTCACATCTGTACTATTGCACAGAAATTTGAACTGCAGAAGGTATTTTCCCTTATCCTATCTCTGAGTACTAAATACGGATGAAACTCACTTACTTTTTGATTTTCAAATGACAAGAATATTCTAGACAGCAAATTTAGTTTTATGTAAGATTGAACATTTTAGGAATTAGCCAATGAACTGTGAATATTTTACCCACCTAAAATAAAATGCAGCTAACATATGGTTGTGGTACATCCCAGGTAGATGTCATATAAAGCACGCAAGGTGAGGTGCTAGCAAGAGAAATACTCATTTGCAAAAATAAAGAGATAACCCTTCCAATATGATGTACCACAACCACACATGAAAAGTCAAGAACTTACTTTTATTTATTTTAAAATAAACATCGAAGATTCCCCCATTACCCACCACCCTACAAAACTTTTGAATGTGGAATGTTCAACAGCCTATCCATTTTAGTAGGTTACAAAACCAGCAAAAATAAAAATTAAAAAACCTCCAGTTCTCTAATGATGAATGTTTGAGAATAACTGTTTTGTCTTTAAGGAATTGAATACCTATTGGAAAAATTCCTTAGCTAAAGGCTAAAAATAAAATTTAATTTCTGCACAGAAAATACCATTAACTTAGTAGCCTTTGCTTAATAGGTGGGCGTAATTCTCCATAAAGTCAAAGTGGAACGAAACAACAAGCAGCATTAAGTTCTTAGGCACACAGATCTAGTGCTCAAACTGCTAGCACAAATTCCAACACAGTACATATGACTAAGCCACTACTAAACTCTCCATCTCTATCAAACTCAAGACTCTCCCTATGCATCTAAGAGGAAGAATTACCACTCTCACATAAATGCCTCCATGAGACAAGGAGAATTCAATTAAAGTTCAATTAGACAAAAGGTAAGTGTGTATAATACAGCTGCTGGAGATAACCATTAAAATTTGTGACACTAGCAATGAGTGGGGTGAATCACATAAGCTGCTAGCTGTTGAACTCCAGTGTTTCAAAATACAACTTTTATAAACACGTTTTATTTGTTTTATTACCATGAGAACTGAAGTTATTGACTGTCATTTCCCTAAAACAGGGAAATCAATCTAAAACACATACTGGTGCTTTTCAAAAGATAGCAATTTAAATGGGTGGTAGCAGCAGGCATTTTTATCTTTTTCTTTAAAGAACTCTCAAGCTGCAGGGGAAAAAATGTGACCAAAAGATGTTATGATTATCCATTAAAGATTTTCATCAGTACCTGAACCAATTTAGGTGACAATACAACAAAGATTCAAGGATTAGTGATGACGATACACATCATAAGGAATGATCTATACAGATAGACATATCTATATAGATATATATATATATGTATATATAGTACCAATCCTTATGAAAGTCTCAAAGAAACTGTTAATAGTTCAAAAGGTATCTAAATACTTCACATTAAATATATAAGCAGCCTGTCCAGATTATATCCCATTATTTGTTGCATATTTTTCAAAAGGTGCCAATCAAAGCCTAATTTACATTCTGGCTGTTTTATATAGTATCAGCTGTTAAGCAACTTACATGTGTTTTTAATCACAGTCGTTTGGCCAGATGAACAGTGCTGTGTCAAAGCTAATAGCCAGCTTTACATGTGTGATTAAGGACCCATGCATAATTTGGTATGCATCTAAACATTCTGTGCTCCAATTTAAATGGAAATACTGTGAAATGCAGTTCTTCTGCCAAACCACACTCCACTCCCTCCATCTTCCTTTCAAGGAAAATGTCCTAGTTTTTTCAATTACCACTGAATAACTCTGGGGCTAATTTGTATATTTTACCCAATGTCAAAAGCCGAAGTTACTCTTTTTCAAGCCACTTCAAATAACTATGGAGATATTATTATCCCCTAAAGTATACTGCTTTACTCCTAAGCAAGGGTGAGGAATCTGAATATCATGTGCAAGGCTCAAGATGACGCTTAGGACAGAACATGCAGAGTAAAAATAGTTTCCTTCCATATCCAGGTAATATAAAGCTGACAATTGTAGTCCTGTCTTTATGGGATGAAAACAGTCCCTTTACAATAAGTTTCCTGAAAGGGAGAACAAATAGATAATAACTCTTCTGGTAACATGTTATGGTACACTGGCCAGTGTGTTTTTGGCGATTAAACATAATCCTGTGAATCAGATTAATTCACTTGCTGAGTGTTCATTTGCGGCATCCCTCTGTTGGGTCTTGGGGGCCCTCCACGACCTAGAAGACAAAAATGGCATTTGATTTTTCTTTCAAATATTATTTGTTTTGCCTTCAAGCAGATTTTCATCTGAAGTCAAGAAGCATGTAGGCAGCTTGTCACCACATTATTAGGTTTAAGAGGTCAATTCTTCAGTGTTCAAGTTTCACCTGTCCTGGAAGTTGTCATGCGCATATTTGCTCAAGTTCTCTAGCTAAAAAAAGAGTAGAGCTAATGGAGTATTCCACCAGTACTCATTCATTCAACAAGTATTTATTGAGTGCCTACTATGTGCTAGGCACTGTCATCAGGCGTTGGGAATAGATACAGCAGTAAAGACAGACAAGTTACCTGCTCTCATGGAGCTTACATTCTAATGTACACTCTAGCTTACATTTCAGTATTAACATCATACTATCAAAATTAATAAAAGCACCAGAAGGAAAACAGACCTTATTACCTAAACTGTTAAAAAGAAACTACTACATAACATTCAAAATTGTATAATGACTTATAACACAAATTGTTTTTTACATGCTGTCAAAACAGATTTTTAGCTATCAGTTAACTCAATTTTCATAGAATATGCTACAAGGTGGGAAAGAACATAACCCACATTCACATGCAAAGACCTCTGATACTTCAAGTCAGTAATTCCCAAGTGATCCATGTGGAAAAAAACACACCTTTTGCTGGCCAATTACTACTAGCACTCAAAGTACTTTTTAATTTGTCCTTAATATACATTTTATACATGTTATGGCCAAAAACTAGATAAAACCTATTTTTTAACCTTCCAATCAGAGAACCATTTAGAACTTTAGATTACATGAAATGCTAGCTTTATAACTGTTAAACAGGTTAACTTCTTGCCAAAATTGGAAGTGATTTTCTCTAATAACAAAAACAAAACAACTCATCTTGCAATATTTAAGTATAGACAAACAAGTTAGTAAGAATTGGGGATGTTACTTGACAATCAAAAATAATTTGGTACTTAAAGATTACTAATGGTGTTCCAAAATGTATTCAGATTTTCATTAGTTCTACTACTTCTAAATGGTTCTCTATATGAAATTATGGCTTATCTGGCCATTAAAGGGTTTCTGGTCCTAAAATATAATATGCAATATGCATGTTTCAAAAATGAAAAGATAATAAATTTATATAAATGTTTACTCTCACTCCAAAAATGTCTTACAAAAATGTTTCAATAAGTACTTCCTAAAAACATTTAGCAGGTGTTAAGACCTGAAAAAATAATTTCCAGTTGGAAAAACACTTTTTCTGAGGAAGAGAAAATGTTCTTGTTCTTAAGACAGTTTGTATATTAACAGGGAAAGTCGTTCAAAAATTAAAATTTGGATTCAAGATTAAGTTTTAGAAACAGCATTTCATTTAATCCCTAGCAACAAGTCTGAAAAAGATCAACATATTCCTAACATGTAACCTACATGCAGACTATGAACAGCTCTTCCAAGGCCAGAACAGAAGCTCCACTTAGGAGCTAGGATCACCACCACAAAATATTACCTCGTGGGGCTCCCCGTGGTCCACTCTGCCCAGAGCCTCGCTTGAAATTCTGCTGATATCCATCCTAAAAGACAAGCTAGTTAGTATTAAGAAAAACTAAATTTTTCATATGCATATTTTATTTACAAGAATATAAATAAACAGTATCAATCAGAAAGTGTCATTTAAAAAATGCTTGCCCATCTACCTTTCAGTTTTACAGTCTAATATTTACAAAATACTATCATAGCTAAAAGCTATTGTGTAAGTACTATATTTCTATTATACTGACATAGGCCTCTTGATTCCTTTTTTTAAAAGACTTTTATTAAGTGACTTTTCTAGATGAAGTGAAAAGAAATGCAGAAGGCCAGCTTTTTTTCTATAACAAAATGCTTCAGATATCAAATAACTACCCCCCAAATTCCTTAGTTATTGAGTCCCACACCGTATTTACCTACCCGCTGGTAGCCAGAGTAGTCTCGGGGAGCACTGAACTGAGACTGTGTGTAACCACTGTTTGGAGTGTTAGAGAATGAAGGGCGGTAACCATCATATCCTCCTAAAATTTAGGACAAGAAAAATAATTTTTTCCTTATTAATTTTTTACCTTATTAATGAAAAAGAATGCCATAACTATAAGCATGCTACTTATTCAAACTAATTTCTAACTATCTAATAGATCTAATTTAAAGTACTAACTGCCTTAGAAGATAAAAATTTCAGGCAGGTACCCACTGCTCACACTTCTAAGTAGCTACTTGGAAGACTTAAATTGGGAGAATCATAATTTGAGGCAAGCCTAGGCAAAAGTCCATGAGGCACCATCTGAATTTTTAAAAACTGGGTATGAGACCCATCAATCCATCTACTACGGTAACCTAGAATAGGCACATTATAGTACAGGAACATACCCACAGAAAAAGCAAGACCCTATCAAGCAAATAACCAATATGAAAAAAATGCTGGGGCAAAAATAGTAAACATGGCTTAGCAATTGAGCACTGGTCCCCCAAGTTCAAACACCTAAACTGCCAAAAGCAATGAAATTTTTACACAGCCATGAATATACACAAAGACAAGGAAATCTCCCTAAGACTTGGTAATATCTAGAAAACAATTATCCCTATTAGCCAGGTATGAGGGCTCATGCCTGTAATCACTGGTAATATCAAAGCTAATCAGGAAGACTAATGTTGAAAGTAGACCCAGGCCAAAAAAAAAAAAAAGTCTACAAGACCCATATTTCAACCCATTTCAATAGCAAAGTGAAGTGGCATGTACCAGTCAGCTATGCACTAGGGCTGAGATGGGAAAGTGAAGTGGCATGTACCAGTCAGCTATGCACTAGGGCTGAGATGGGAAAGTGAAGTGGCACGTACCAGTCAGCTATGCACTAGGGCTGAGATGGGAAAGGGACTATGGTTCCAGGCTATTCCAGGCAAAAAAAGCTCATAGGGAAGCCTCCATCTCAACAGAAAAGGCTGCATTAACAAACTGTCATCTCAGGTGTGGGAGGAAAAACAAGAAAATAAATCTCTAGGCCAGCCAGGAAAAAAAATGACCTGATCTAAAAAATAACCAGAGCAAAGTGGGTTGGAACCATGACTCAGTGGTAGGATACTAAGCACCTGACTTCAAACTCCATCCAGTACCAGCACCAAAAACAAAACTAACAAAGAAAAAACTTCTACATTTGGCAAAACAAGTAACAAAAAACTTCTGTACAACATTTCATTAACTGCATTTAAACATAACTCAAGTGATAGTGCCAGCCACAAACAAACAACAAAAAAATTCTGTATAGCATTTCATTAGCTACATTTAAAATATACTTAGTAGAAGTTTAAGCATAACTCAAGTGATAGTGTCAGCCAAACAAAAAGGCTGCAAATAATGAGTTTAAATCACAATTCTGAAAATAAAATTAATAATGAATAATACATAAATGTTAAAAGTTGAACCTAAGAGGCTAATTCAAAGATACATCTCTCCTGAAAACTATACGACATGTTTTACAAACCAAAAAACAACCTACAAGTTCAGGGCTAGGAATGTGGCTCAGTGGTAGAGTACTTGCTTAGCATGCATGTAGCCCTGGTTGATTCCTCAGTACCAAATAAACAAAAAAGGCCAGAAGTCGCAAGGTGGCTCAACTCATAGAGTGTTAGCTAGCCTTGAGCATAAAGATCAGGGACAGTGGTCAGGCCCTGAGTTTAAGCCCCAGGTCTGGCCAAAAAAACAATCCTAAAAGTTCATTACAACTTGCATCTCATTGCTTTTACCTCTGAACCCATTGGTAGGTCCCCGGTATCCATTCATCAAGCCTCTAGCACCACGGGAACCTCCACGAGACACACCACGACTATTGTAATAAGGCTGACTGCCCCGAGGAAATCCAGTGTTCTGTTGAGGAGGCTGCTGGTGGTTGCCCGTCACTGGATGGGACTGGTCCTGGGAACCGTGGTAAGTGCCAACTACTACAATAAGGAACACAAATATTATACAGTCCCATTACCATTTGTTCTCCTACATGCTTTCAGGTTTAAGCAACAATTTTTACATTTTATAGTCCCTTAAAGTGTTGGGGGTTTTGTGTTTTTATTTTGTCTGTTGTGGTGCTTGAACTTGGGCCTGAGCGCTGTCCCTCAGCTCTTCAGCTCAACGTTAGTGCTCTACCACTTGAGCCACAGCGCCACTTCCGGTTTTCTGGTGGTTTTTATTGGAGGTAAGAGTTCCGAAGCTTTTCCTGCCTGGGCTGGCTTTGAACCGCAACCCTCAGATCTCATCTCATCCTCCTGAGTAGTTAGGATTACAGGTGTGAGCCACCAGCACCCAGCTAAGTTTAATTTTTTTTTAATTTCCAGATTAATGAGGAAAATTGAACATAAATGATATCACTGTCTCTTTCCCACCCAGAGATTAAGCTGGAGGGTTGGGGGCAGAGGAAATGGATACAAAATTTCCAAACCTTCTAAAGTAGAATACACAATGTTACCCTCCAACTAAATTATGCATACTATTATATACTGTACGCGCTATATACTATTACCTTCTGAAAAGTGAGTCCCTATGAAAACAGTGACTTAAAAAAACCTAGCAAGTGGTTAGCCTGTCCAAATATCCGACTTTTGGGGGTTAAAAAAAGACTACATTGGGGCTGGGAAGGTGGCTCAGTGGTAGAGTGCTTGCCTTGCATGCTCGAGGCCCTGGGTTCGATTCCTCAGCACCACATAAGCAAAAAGAAAAAAAAACCGGAAGTGGCGCTGTGGCCCAAGTGGTAGAGCGCTCGCCTTGAGCTGAAGAGCTGAGGGACAGCGCCCAGGCCCAGAGTTCAAGCCCCACGACCGACAAAAAAAAAAAAATATTTATACAATTTTTAATTTTTATTTAAATATCTTATACCCACAAGGAATTTCTAATATATTCTCGGTTTTCACACATTGTACAGTATAAAATAATGAATTCCTACAAAGAGGAAATGTTATGACTTTGCCAAGTTAATAAATAAGCTTCACTACTCATATTATTTTCCATAATCTTTCATATTTTTGATACGTAAAATTGTCTCACAAGGCTGGACATCAATAACTCAGATCTCAGGAGGCTGAGATCTGAGGAATGTGGTTGAAAGACAGCAGCAAGAAAGACCAGAAAACCAGAAGTGTCAGTGTGGTTCAAAGTGGTAGAAAACTAGCCTTGAGCAAAAGAGTTCAGGGACAACACCCAGGGCCTGGAGTTCAAGACCCACAATCAATCCCTCCTGCCAAGTCTTACAACTTTCCTGCCCCATCTGACTTCAATCCACAATCCTCAGCTCTAAGCCTCCTAAAGTAACTAGGATTACAGGCATGAGCCACAGCCACCTGGCAAGAACTGAAAATTTTCTGTTTTTCCTTTCCTTCAAAGGGAGTTACAAGGTCCCACTACATAACCCAGGTTAATCAATAACCTTGAATTCAATGTCTTCATGTCTCAACCTCCTAAATGTTTGCAATAGGTGACATTAAATTCCTTTTTAACCAATAATTTTATTACTAATATCAAATATCAAATGTAACGCACTCACATCAAACCAATCCAAAATATCTTTAAATAAACAATGCTTACAACACGCCAGGCAGGTTCCCACACAATGAATCTTGTAATACAGTGGTACCTGTATACAACCTTATTCTAATGAGATGATAAAGATAAATGAGTCAACAAAAACCTCAGCTGCATTTGAAGAGTGGAGATAGGTGTCTGAGGTGATATTTGAATACCAATATGAAAGTACTGCAGTGGGCCCAGTGGCTCACACCTGTAATCCTAGCTATTCAGGAGGCTGAGATTTGAGGATCATGGTTCAAAGCCAGCCTAGGCAGGAAAGTCCATGAGACTCTTATCTCCAGCTAGAAAACCGGAAGTGGCACTGAGGCTCAAGTGGTAGAGCGCTAGCCTTGAGCTGAAGAGAGCAGGGACAGCACCGAAGCCCAGAGTTTAAGGCCCACAACTGACCCAAAAAAAAAAAAAAAAGGACTGTGACCAAGTATGGTACAGTGGCTGATACCTGTCATTTCAGCTACTTTGGAGAAGATGCCAACCACTGACAAAAAGACAGCGAAGGAAGACTCCATGTCAAAGAACAAGCCAAGCATTGTGTTACAAACTTATAATCACAGTCCAAGGCAAGTCCAGGCAAAAAGTGAGACCATATTAGAAAAGTAACTAAACCAAAAAGTGTTAGGGGCATGGTTGGAAGAGCAAACCCCAGAACCACACGTGTCAAAAAAAAAAAAAAAATTCAGGAGATCAAGAACATTAACACTGGAAGTAGCACTGTAGCTCAAGGCTGAGGGTTCAAGCTCTACAACTGACAGCCCATTATTAAAAAAAAGAAAGCATCAACTCGTCTTCTAAAAGGATTGGCTACTTTGTTGTGCAATTCCAATTGTATTCCTAGAAATTACCCAGACATAAAGGAAACTAAAAGAAGTATTTGAAATATTACAAATTTCAGAAATCTCTACCTGCATTATTGCGATAATGAATGGCCAAAAAGGACTTTACTTCAATCCAGTTCACAAAGTGAAGCAGAAATTAGCACAATAAGTATCAAAGCAACTCCTAATTGCTTTCTAACTGACCTATTGCCAAGTACCATGCTACCAGGTTACAAACAATGAGCAATTAAAATTATAAATTATACAGCTTTGTAACCCTTTTGTACAACTACATCATCATAATAATAAAGTTGGACCCGGGCTAGGAATGTGACTTAGTCGTATGCCTAGCATGCATGAAGCTCTGGGTTCAATTCCTTGATACCACATAAACAGAAAAAGCCAGAAATGACACTGTGGCTCAAGTATAGGGCATTAGCCTTAAGCGAAAGAAGCTCAGGGACCACTGAGTTCAAACCCCAGGAATGCCTCCCCCTTTACCCCCTCCCAAAAAAGTTGGAGTTTATTAAAGTTAAAAGGTTAATTGCAAACAGCCTGGTGACTCATGACTATAATCCTAGCTATGTAAAACTGGCTGAGATTTAAAGATCAGAGTTCAAAGCCAGATTATTTCTCTCCAATTAAACTGCAAAAGGCAAGAGTTGAAGCTGTGGCTCAAGTGGCAGAGCAGTAGCCTTGAGTGGAAAAGTGAAAGGACAACACCCAGCGCTTGAGTACAAGGTGAAGTACCAGGAAGTGGCCCAGTGGCTCTAGTGGTAGAGCGCTA